GCTCGTTGCTGTGGTTTCGCGGCCGCGGCCACGGTGGTCTAGCAGCTAAGGTACTCGGCTCCTGACCTGCTGGTCGCAGGATCAAATCCCGGCTGTGGCGGCTGCATTTCCGATGTAGGCGGAAAGGTTGTAGGCCCATGTACTCAGATTTGGGTGCACGTTAAATGACCTCAGGCGGTCGAACTTTCTGGAGCCCTACACTATGGCGTCTCTCATAATCATGTGGTGGTTTGGGGGCGCTAAACCCCACAAATCAATCAATCTGTTGTTTGTCGCTGCCGTGTGGAAGTTGCGTGCACACGGTTAAAGCTTACATGTCAACGCGCTTCACACATTTGTCAGATAACCGAGGGCCAATGCTCTTTCGCCGGAATCACTGAAAGTGTGTTGCAGTAATTTTACTTCACATTTACTGGCCACAAGTTTGGCCGTATAAACAGTTTCAGCTGAACATCGAGTCTGCTCCCTTCGTCCACGTCATGACCACGTGACAAAATAGCAGGAAAACAGAAAATAATGTGTAAAAAAATATATGAAAGTTCACACTAACCAATATAAGAGCTTGTGATAGTAAATAAAAAAGTTTGGGAGTGTTACATTCCCAGACCCAGGGGTGAAATTGCCGCGCCAATTAGGCCATTCTGCGCCAATCTGACATGTTGTGCCAGCTGTGCCTAAACGGATATTTGCGCGTGCAACGCCAAATTTAGTCGAGTTTTATCAACGGCTGAGCAACACTCGTGGGCTGCAGGAATGACGCAAGCGCGTTCATATCAAATTAGTTCGGCCACGTCGTAATTCGGTTCATGCATATATCTTGCGCCACGTGAACAGAATGCATGAATCTTGTTAAGGCGGCGTTCGTGTGCATACCTTATTACGTGACTCTATATGTGTTTTGACAGCGAAATCTGTTCGTCAAAGCATAAAGACGGCAGTGGTGTTGCAAAAAAACTCGCCGAACCTTTAGCGAGCAACCACCGAGCACCGAGCGCTCTGCGGTGAAGACCGTCGAGCCATATAAACTAAAGAAAAACAAAAGATCAGTCTCCCTGGTGAAGCGATGACGGCCATAAAAATTTGTAATGTTGTAATGGAAATGCATGCCACACGCGCTCCTTTTTATTTTTCTTACCGCACCATTTTGCGTGTACCGCTCCTTTCCGAAATACGCGCCCGAATGACTAGGAACCATCTGAACAATCTTAGAACCCTCCGATGCGATCACGCGCACAACATGCACACTACTGTTTGTTCTGTAACTTACGCTGCCACTATAGCGATAACGCTGGAGTCTTCGGTGCACGTGTATAAATGGCAGCGCACTTCGCTGCTTCGCAGAATATCGACGGCCGATGCTCTATGTTCGCTGCTATCAGTTTGCAGTGTGTATTGCTTGCTGAGTGATGTCCCGTTTTCCGGGCATAGGTTCGCCCAAATACAAGTTGACTCATCAAAAAAGCGGCCTGTCCTGTCCTCTTCTAGCACCTACTATTGCTGCTGACTCTTGCAGTTCAATTAGTTAACAAGACCCTACATGCTTATTGAACAAGTAAAAGCCTTGCGATCTCCGCAGCAGCTGTGAAAACTGACGAAATATTGTTGAACTAGGAAGCGGGGCTCATAAGAAGCTGTCTAGGCGTGCTATCTAGTATATTTAAGGCGAAAGCTTTGCATGCCTTATTGAACACGGAACGTTGCCGTCGGCGTGAGTGTCAACACAAGTGAAGCAAAAAAAAAAATCATCAACATGTGATTACGTCGTCGTATTTTATTATCATGACATCATAGTGAAGAAACTGTGATGTCATATGATGACCTAATGACATGACATAATCACTTGGGCAAGGGTGGGCCAATCTTGGAGGCACATAGCGCGCAGGAAGCCTGATATGCGCCCAATCCAGGAGGCCATGTAGAACCACACTAGGTGCAAAAGACTTGCACATAATGGGAATCGGTACAATATAATGAGACCAAGGAAAAAACAAGATCGCTTTTGCCTTCGAGTCATTTTCTGTGGGTTAAATAGAATCCTGTGAGCCTAGTGTGACCCAAATCAGGCCAATTACATGGTCATTTGATCACAAAACTTAGGTTGCAGAATTAGGTTTCAAAAAAAGAGAGAGAAAGCGCATCAGAAATATACATGAAATGCGTAACCCTTCATTCGCAGTGAGGCTTGAGCTTAAAGTTAACCAATGTGCTGCTGAGAACGCTAAATTACGTCTACTAGAGACATCGGCAACGTACACAGGCAGGAGATTAAAACTTCGTAAAAACGACCCCTCTGAGTTGCAGGCAAATACCAATGCAATATTTGAATTCGTTTGACTATGCATTTGCCAGGAATGATGGTATAAGTATAGCTTAATTTCACCTAAATAATTTGCAACACACCACTACAAGGATGCCTTCAATTTCAAAAACTTTATACCACTTTGAAAACAAGGTGCTTATTACACTGCTAATTGTGATCAGCCTGACTGCGCCTACTGCGGTCAAAGGCTTTTCCTACATACGTTGTTTTAATCAACCTAGCCCTGTGCTTACTGTGTCCACTTAATACCGTCAAATTAGTTGTTTTTATCGGCCAACATAATGTAAAGTCTTCCCCTAGCACCTTTAGCTCCTCTTGGAATCCCGTCTGTTGCTCTTATTGACCAGCTATTAAGAAGATAAACCGCTGATGCGAATCAGATAACATCAGTCTGTTCAGAGGCACTAGACAGACTGTGTCCAAAACAACCTAGAAGACCCCTCAGCTTCGCCTTCCAAAGTAGAATGAGGTTGCGTAATCGGGCCCCATGCCTATCCCCTCTCCGATCGGTAGCCTGGTTTCGTTTCTCCGTGCATGCCCCAACCATGCCGTATAAGAAACGAAAGACCATGAGCTGTTGCGAAAGACGGACCGATCCCACCGAAGCCACCACTGTTGCGAACGACGGCGACGCCAACACAGGTGCCGAAGGCGCCACTGCTTCCGACTCCGCCGGGAAGGTCACCAGCCGTTTGGTAGCGTATGTTTCTCAGCTCGCGACTGCTTCTGCGCAGAGCTGATCAGACGAGCGGACGAGACGACGGTGAGTCAAAACAGGTTTATGTACAGCATATATACAGAGGCGTTACAATTTCGGCACTGGGGCCGACAGAGACTCGAAGAGCCGAGCTCTTCTCTCTAACACATAGTTCAGCCTTTCGCCTAAGACCGCTGACTCACACACATGTCGGCACTCCGACACGGGGACGCCTCTCACATAGGACCGCCGATCGCGACGCGCCGCAGGGCTTCTTTTATTACACCGGGTCCAACCAAAATGTCCAATCAGAAGCGCCGCTGGTCGTCGCGGGCAGATTCCGCCAATGGGGCCGCCGCGCCATGCCGTCAGACCACCTGACACGAGGACGCCGGCTCGCTGTCACGTGCGCAACTGACTCACTGCACGTGGGCCAGAGGAGCGCCGCGCGTGTTCCCGCCGTCGAGGTGATCGCGCCAGGCAGACTGCGGGCTGGCCTTGACCCAGATTGCCTTTTTCAGAGGCACGGTCGTTTGACGAGGACTCGCTGGCATAACAGCAACCCCCGCCGCCAGACAATGCACCGGAAAGACGAGCTGCTTCCACGGGGCTCGGATGTCAGGTGCGCTCGTTCGCCAGTCCCTCCAGGTTCGCCTCCAGGGCCATGGGGAGACTACAGCTCCAGACTGTTCGGGAACACATCCCATTTTTGACGACGGATCCCAGCTCCACTGGCTTGTCGCCACAACTTGCTGGCCAACTCGCTCGTCTCTTCCGACCATCTTCGGTTTCAGCACTTGTCGATGGTTCTGCAACTTGCCAAGAACGGATCGACAACAGACAACACACGACACACGCAAGTGCCTCGGTCACCCGACAGAACACCAGACAAAGTATAGTACAACATATACCTATCTACGTGTCTATCGGAATTTTGTCCCTCTACATCAAGAGGCACATGTGGACACAAGACTCTTAAATGACAACTCAATTTTTTTTCCACGTACAACAACGTAACGAATTAGAATACCACATAAGTTGGCCCCTTGAGATCACTCTGAAACGAGAGCGCTCAGCCCAGGTCGTGATGAGGGTCAAAATTTTGCCCCCGAATCGCCAGCGAGAAACCGAAAGGTTGAGAAGTTACTAGCTGGAACGCACTGCTCAATGCACCTGCATTAGCGTTTACCTTTCCC